AAGTGCTCCTTGTGTTGTTCTGGACTACGGAAATAGACCAAAATGTCATCAATGAAGACGATGACAAACTGGTCCAGGGATGGATGAAAGACACAGTTCATGAGATCCATGAATATCGCTGGCGCATTACTCAAGCCAAACGGCATCACTACGAACTCATAGTGACCGTATCTCATTCTGGAAGCTGTCTTGGCCATGTTGGCCTCCTTGATCTTCAGCTGATGGTAACTAGAACGCCGATCTATTTTGGAAGATACACTGGCTACCCTCCGCTGATCGAATAAATCCTCCATCCTGGGAAGTGGATACTTGTTCTTTGCCGTCAACCAGCTCAACTCCCGGTAGTCGATGCACATTCTCATAGACCCTTCCTTCTTCTTGACATGGAGGACAAATACTTCTCACGGTGAAACGCTCGGTCGATTGAAACCGGAACTCAATAGCTCCTGAATTTGAGCCTTCAACTGCTGAAGCTCATTGGCTCCTCGCGCTATGGTGCTTTCGTCACTGGTCCCGCTCGAGGCACTAAGTCGATTGTGAATTCCACCTGGCGATTAGGTGGTCCTCCTGGAAGTTGTTCCGGAAAACGTCCACCAATTCACTAACTATGGCTATATTTTCGGGTGTCAGCTTCTCCGAAGCCTTCCCAACGATGTTGACGAGAAAACCCTGACAATCTTCCCTCTGCAGAATCTTTGTCGCCTTTGCCATGGAAATTAAACGCGGTAAAGTTTGGGCCTCCGTCCTGAAAACGTGATGCGATCTCTCTCGGATAAGTGTAGTGTTATCTCCCAGTCACTACATTTGATGTCTGCGTGACACCTTGACAACCAATCCTTGCCGAGGATTTAGGACAAAATCCTCCATCTTGTTCACCAACGCGTCTTCTTCTAGGGTTCTACCTCTATACGATGCTTGGCCAGGGAATCCATGACTATCTCCCTCCCAAAGCTAGACTGTCCTCGAGGGGGTCGATAGTACTCATTCCCTGAGCCCTCATGGCCGAAAGAACACTTGGCCGAGACTAAGGAATGCGTCGCCCGGGTATCACCATGCTTTCTTCTCCTCGGGGTCTAAGAGGTGATGAGCGAATGCGCTCTCTTTAGCGAATTCACGATCGTATTCCTCTACCGAGTGGCCTCCTGCTGAAAGGCACTGAAATCTTGCTTTAACTTTCCGCGAATATGGCGTTGGAACCTGGCTTCCAGAATCTTTCTGTGTCAGTCCCAAGTCATCTCATTATACTCATTGTTTGTCTCATACACTAGTAGTCGTTCCACCAATCACTGGAGTTGGTTCACGACTACAGTCTGTTCCTGCTCGATGGGTGGGTTCGGAGCTCTGTGGGACAGCACTCTGAACAACCACTAACTTTACGAGAACAGTATAGCCAATTAAGAAATAGCCATACCATACATGAAATGTTTCATGAAACCGAAAACACCTAGCTTGGCTAGAGTTCCGGTGTACTTACCTCTTCTGAGTTCTGGCTAGAGTTCTGACTTAGTCTACAGTTCTGCTTCAACTGGAGTTCTGACTTAGGCTAGAGTCCTTGGACATAGCTGTTCTAGAGTTCTGTCTAGAGTTCTTGGTCTTAGCTCAATTTTTCTAGAGTTCTTTTCTCTAGCGTTCTCTGTCTTATAGGAGGATAGTTATCTAGGCTCCGTACTTGAATTTAATTAAGCACTTGCAAATCTTAAACTTGGCTTAGGTGACTTACCTCGGAGTCGGCGCGGAGTGAGCGTGGCGAGGTCATGCTTTTCTAAAACTTTGAAAGGTATCCAGAACCCTAGGTGCTCTGATACCAAGCTGTAACACCCCGCCTTACTTAGTTTTTGAATACTGAAAATCAGAGTAAAATTTTTGCTTTTTATTTTCGAAAGATCGTGCGAGTTTATTTTCGAAAATACTTTCTTAATTGCGGGATGCTATGAAAACATTCTTAACTTACTATCTCGGACATAAATAAAACATGTAAGCAAACGAGCCACTACGGCGAAAAAGTGGTTATACATGCAGTCCGTCTGTCTCGCACTGAAACTTAGCGGAAGCTTAAATTGAATAATACTTATTACACGCATACATGTTACATACAAATTCATGATTTTTAAAATATAAAAGGTGTGTAAAAACGTCCACTGCTCATGACCACACTTGCCACATCTGCTCACCCGGCACGCTGGACTCCGACACCTGAAATAAGAAAGACTGTGGGAGTGTGAGCATATCTGCATGCTCGTGGGAAAACTGGAACTGTAATAATCTTAACTGTAAACATAAACTTAAAAGTAGCATAAAATAAATAAGTTGTACTGTACTGTAAACATTTCTTAAACTTTAACTTTGGTCAAAAGACCCTTACTCGGTCCTCGGCCGCTCGTGTGCACACCCCGATGGGATATTAAGGCCCTTGGCCTCCACCGATACCAGGTGAAACTTGGAAGGCCCTTAGGTCGACCCCTCACCTGAGAGAACTAACTGTCTCGAACATACCTCAGTCATGGTACAGTAATTATAGATGATGTGGAATCCAGTACATGACCTCCACGTCTCTGCAAGACCAGTACTGAATAAGACAGCATCAATAATACACTAGATCATGGCTTCAATATATAAGAGCTTAAAATGTAAACTTTTCTTTTCTTGCTTTTCTGTGGTCAAAAGACCTCGGCCCTTAAGTCGACCGCTCGTGTGCACACCCCGATGGGATATTAAGGCCCTTGGCCTCCACCGGGTCCCAAGATGGAATATTAAGGCCCTCGAACTCCACCTGGGAGATCTACTAGACCACAAACGGGATAATTCAACCGTTACATTGCGCATGTCAGGATAACTGAAATGCGCAATGTAACGCCCTGTAAAGGCTCCCACCTGTTACGCAGAAAATCTGTGCAAGTGCTGGAATACTGGGGTAGCTGTCGGAGGCTCGACTCTCCTTAAGCTACCAAAATATATAAGCAAATATCTAAGAAATTTGCTCGTCTTATGGAAACTAATACTAAAACTTAGACAGTTAAGCAGACAAAGCAGATATAGCATGAAAATCACATAAGGCACATAGATGCATATGAACACTTAAAACTTGAGTGGATTCTCTCGGCTCAACCGACTATCTTAGGGTTTCTCGGAAAAATTCTTACTTAGGCTTGGAAGCCCACTTTTTCTGAATGTTCTATACTGTTTCGAACCGGCCATTCTCACCGGATTCCGGCGACTATTTCCGACCAACTCACATGCTAAATGAATGTTTGGTCACTTAAGTCCATGCATATTCATTTAAATCATTTACTAGAATAAAATGATCGACTAAACTTCATAGTAAAATATTTCACTTAACCATGTACATTCTGTACAAATTTCAACTCATTTGAACATTAATAGCTTATTCAATTAGCATCTCAAACTTAACATATGAAATGCACTTTACACTCATGCATTCAAATAATTTTATAAACTCGTAATCTTATCCTCTGAAGCTCAAATTTAGTGACATTACTCACAACTCATACAAGAAATTTCTCTTAAAATTTCACATAAATCCCGCAAGTATTGGGGGAGTTCTAAAGCATCAAAGTTTAACTCGAAATGCATTCGTTCTAACACATATTAATCACTCATTTCTTATGATAAAATCATGAAATTTGGTATGAAGGTTCTTAACTCCTATATAAACATGTCCATAAAGTTTCATAATTTTATCCTGAGTATAACGCGAGTTATTAATGTTTGAAATCGGAACAAAATTCGCGCCTATAAAATTCACTTTGCATGTCTAACTTTAAAAATCAATAACTCGAGTTATACTAGTACAATTGACTTAATTCTTAATCCTATGAACTCCTCTTTTCCACAAGAAATAGCCATAAAATTCTAACATTTCCTAAATTTTTCAGAGCATAGGCAAAAACGTACAAAAACATAACATATAGAACAAGCAAGAAAAACTGGGAGCACTTAAACATTAAGCATGCTTGAAACCACTTCAAAACTGAACATATATGGCTCAATTATATATCAATCAACTCCTTATCTCATATATTTTATGATTCCAAAAAGGTTTGAGCATACCAAGCTTTTAATCTTCAAGAAAAACGTGAGAGAAATTGTATATGCTCGGTGTTGCTCTTCTTGCTTGCTCCTTTGTGTAGCTGCGGCTCTTTGGCTTGCCTCCTTGAACTTAATGACACTAAATGCTTCTAGGATGAGAGGAGGATGAGGGATGATGATAATCTTGCTGAGGATCTCGAATTAAGTTGCTATAACTCAGGAGAACTTATGTCTCACACTAAGGGCATGATTGTTTACCAACTAAAATGCAATTTTACTAGTTTTTAAGTAGCAAAGTGGAGGGTTGAAAACTAGTTTTTTACTAGAGGAACTTCTACTCGGTCCACATGCCTACCCCTCCTTTTCATACTTTGTGGTAGCATGTACAGTTGTTGGTCGGCCATATTGATTGCATTTGCTGATGACATAAAAAAAATAAAAATAAAAAAAGCACAAAAAGAGAACTGAGGCGTGCATTTCCATCACGTGAAGTTGGGTCAATTTTGGGTGCCTCCATTAACATCAGTTTGCGGATTATTTGGTTTTGAGTTTTTGTTTTTTATTTTTTTTTTTCGTTTTTAAGTAATAAATTTTGAAATTTTGAGGCCCAGTAGCATTGGTTGAGCAAAAAATACATTATGGTTATCTTCTTTGAACATTCATGGCTATATTTATTTGTAATAAACACTTCCATGTTATTTTTTATTTATTTTTTTATTTGTAATAACCATTTTTTAAACGGAATAATGATAGCATGTTAATCTTATGTGAACATTCGTACTAATGATAGCATTATTTTTTAATTTTTAGATAATGCATTTACACTTGGGTTGTATCCCAAGTTGTCATCCAAGTAGGCTAAATAGCATTACTCATAATATTTTCTTGACAAAAGCAATAATAATAATTATCATTTCACAAATACTTTATTTATTTGAAAATATCAAATAGCAGTAGAAACACCAATGTAGATTACAAAAAATTGTTCTGAAATGAAAGAAAAATCATTTATCTGAAAAGTGCATACGCGACAACAATCTCAATTTCCTTTCCTTCTTTTTTATGCTGCCATACGTCTTTCTTCGGCCCAGTAGTCGCGAACAACTTGGTCAAGTTTGCGATGGTTACGTTCACCTCTCGCCCGCATTTCACCAGGATATGGGTTAAGGCCTAGTGGTTCGAAAATTATCTTCAAGGTTTCCCATAAAGGCTCAGGATTGTTGCTATAATAATGGTTTGCTAATGGCCAAAACTGAGAGAATATGATGTACTCAAAATTATAATATTATTACATAACAAATGGAGATAAGACAATGTTCGTAATAGAACATATATATATAAAAAATTCCCAAAACAAGAAAAAAAATAATAAAAAATAATAAAAAACAAAAAGGAATTTTGGTTGAAATTTCTTACCTCAAATGCTTCCTCACGATCGTCCTCGTCAAGATAGACGGTCTTTGCGTGTATGTCGAAAACACCCAATGGGTAATCTAAAAAATATTTAAATGTTCGATATCTTTCTTTCAATACCATGAATGTGGTATAGCATTCTGCCAAAGTCAAATTATGTCCATTTCACCCAAACAACTTCTGTGTATTCTATCAAACGCCATATATATGTCAAACTCATAGTTCAACCCTTCTAACTGGATGTAATGTAGAAGGATTGAACAAAAAGACTCCTCAGCTGCTGGAAGCCATTTGTTCGAAAATCCTTCTCGTATATAGCGGAAATGTTCTTCCTTTGTTTTTGGCAATGATAAACCCCACATGATTGAACATAAAATCAAGACGGAGGATGTTTTGCAGTGGTGATAATTAAACACATACATTTATAGCGAAGCCCATGTAGGTATATATATAGGCAAAGTGTGTGGTTGAGAAGTGAATTGGATATAAAGGTAATACAGACTTTGCCCATGCCTACTTGTCGTACAGGTTGTTTTTTACAATTACAACCCATTTCCCATTTTCCATTTTAAAACCTTGGCCCATGCTATGTTGTCATACAGGTTCTTTTTTTTTTTCTTTCCACTTCAATATTCTTTATATGCATTAACAATAACTTTCTTATAACCCATAATATGTTTATAAAATGTAGATAATTATTACATTCTCTTCAAATTCATTGGTTTAATTCATATCAAGATTATATGATGTGGATACATTACAGAAAACAAATCTCAGCAATTTTTATTTATATTTTTATTTCTCTTTATTCCAATTTTACGTTGCATGCAATTAATTTACGTAGTAACATGATTATATATACCAAATCATAAAATCTGATTTTATATAGCAAAAAATTTTTACTAGATAGTAATCATGACATATGATTTTATATACTTGTAAATAACAAGAATTTATAAATGTGTATATATATGTTAATATACAGAACTATATGAGTTATACATACATTTTTTTATACACAATGTAGAAATATATACTTCTGTATGTCTCAATAATTGCAAAAATGAAGTATCATTTAAAATCCGTTGGTTGAACGTGTAAGTCTAGTAAAATGTTTTCAGATATAATTTGCATTAACACACCGGTAAACTCCATATAAAATTGCTACATTGGAAAAATAACATACGCAACAAATAAAAGTTACTTGTTATAAAATGTTTTTCAATACATCATGATGAATTTCAAAAGTGCTACAAAAAGTAATAACCCAACTACCACAAAAAAACCTCTAACGATATCTTGGGTCACAATTTCAAACACTGAATGTGGGTCATTGTTCGTTGGCGCATGTGACGTGGTTGAGTAGTTGGACCCTCGAGTCGTACGACTGCTACCTTCTGCATTTGATTGCGTATTACAATATGTTTGAGCACTTCCCCTTGAAGAAAAATAGCAATTACTCTCGTCATCCCAAAGAAAACTCCCCTGATGTTTTAATCCTGCCGGACACCGATAAAAATACCTACATAAATTTTTTCTGTTTTAGCCATCAAACGGTACATCCGACCATTTCTGCAGGAACACAAAGGTGGTCGAGAAACCATGATGAATTTTTTTTGAATGATTTTTGTTGCCAAAGGTGGCATGTTTATATAGACTCGCNTAGCAAAAAAAAAAAAAAAAACAAAAAAAAAAAAAAACCCACACATCACATTCCCGGTTTTTACATCTAATCTCCTATTACCTCCCGCCAAAAACACCACCTTTCCACTTTCTCCCTCTTCTACACCTTTTTGACCAACCTGTCACCTCCAATTTTAAATTAAATTGATGGCCCCAACAAATGAATGAGATGAAGACTCCTGCCACACCTATATCCAAGTGCCCTCTGACTAGTATAAATAAAGAACGCAACAAAGCTGCACCGAAAAAATAAAAAGAAAGCAAGAAAGGCAGTCTCATACATGATGTATCAACTTCACGCCACAATAAAACAAGGAAAAATTGTACAAGACCACATGCAAGAACATGGATACGGCTGTTTCGATTAGACCCATCGTCAAGAATCAGATTTTCGCAACAGTGTAAGGTTATTTAAGAAGAAAAATGATACATAGCCAACCTAGTGTAAAACTATGTTGACAACACAAGTAAAAAAATATTTACGAAAATAAAGATAAAAAAAAAAACACAAATAGATGTTTCCACTTTTGTTGTCAATCTAGTTGTACACTAGGTTGGCAATGTAGATTTCTCAAGAAGAACAACACCAGATAAAGCTACGACGTGATGAAATCTGTTGACCAACCGAAGCTTCGCAAACAAATTCTTTTTATTCGACCTTGTTCGTGTTCGACAAAAACTCGTTCGTTTGTCAATCAAACGAACACGAGGTCGTGCGTCAACATTTGATTAGTGCGCGAACATTAATGTAAGAAAAATTATTTAATTTATTTACATTTACGTATAATCTTTCCAATTATAATTTAATAAGTATTTTTTTCCTTGTTCGAGCAAACAAATCTCGAACACAATTTTTTGCGGGAAAAATATATGAAAGAACCCGAACACTATTCCAATGGTTTGTGTTATACTAATATGAATTACAACCATAGCCTAGTAATAGTAATTTCGAATCTCGAAGACAAGTTCCTTTATACTAATATGAATTACAACCATAGCCTACTCAACAGGTTGTGTTATTTTTAGTTGTACCACACACATGTAATAATGAAGATAACCAATGTTAACATGAATTAGAACCAAATAACAGAGTAGTGATGAGTCTCATCCATGCGTACTACAAGTCCACAAAAACCATCACATTAATAGTTTGTTACACAATAAAACACAAGTTCACATTCAACATACGGTACAAAAGTAACATTGAAACACACATTACACCAACCTAACCTCGAAACGCACACAAAAATACGGAGTTAATGTGAATTGCCATGTATCGCCTTCAACCATTTGCGTAGCTTCCACAAAGTCCTCGGCATCCCAATTTTGCATCAAAATTTTTCCATGGCCTTGAACAATTTGTAATTCATATGTACACCCCTCAAACTCCAAAATTGCTCTGAAATTGTCGGTGGGGTCGGTAAGAATATAATCTCACCAAAAATTAATAGGAATCGGCTGCAATAAAAGGGTAGTTTTAATGTGCAGATGCGGTTGAAAATAAAGTAAGAATAGCGTAATGACAAAGGAGATTAATACACAATTACCAAACGCGCACGTTCCACATGAGTTTTCTTTATTTCTAGCGTATACCGGAAGCGAAGATCCCGCTCCACCTGATCGTCCATGTAGACTGTGACTATGAAATCCGTAAAGGATGTGCGGTCGACCCACAAACAGTTATCGACCATAATGTCCTCACCATGCACAAAGTCTCACCATCCTTCATAAAAAAACACCCGAAAATGATTGCCTCTCAGTGTCACGATATACCTCCGACCTTCTCTAGTGGTTAGGGTGCACTCAACAGGTGTAAGGTGGTTGTATTGATGGTTTAGACTGTCCGGAAGCTTCTGCGGGCCACATTAAAAAATATAAATTGGAAATGACGATTTATGTGATATAATACCCAATATTTGACCATGAAATAAAACATGAACACGAACAATTGAATTACGCAAACGTACCAATGTTCGTTTTTCCGGATCGACAATGTACTTGAAAAACCGCTGAAAGTACTCTGACATGTTGTCTTAAGTGTTATCTACGTGGTTTGTGTGAGGTTGCCAATCCACAATACCCAACTTCAGTGAATATAAAATTAAATATATTACAAAAAAAAAATAAAAAAAATAAAATAAACACTATTACTCACAACAAAGGAAACGAGAATGCACAAGAAACAGATAAATATGGGTTGCAAATGTATGACGACAAATATGAAGTCCAGTAGTGAATCTTCAATTCCAAAGAAAACAATAATAACACGGTTCAACGTGGACAACCTCAACATACTACAATAATAGCGCGGAGTATACTGTAATATAAAAACTAAAATCCATTCCAAAATACCGATAGTAAAGCAACAGTCATCGCTTCCAAATAAATTTATTGAAAAATTGATTGGAAAGTACCGATTACGAAAAACCCATAACAAAAAAAGGAATCGTTCTATGAAACTGATTGAACTCTCTTGGTTACGAATAACCTAACAAATCAAAACATAAAAGGCCCAAGTGACCGGTCGTACCTCTGAGGACGACGAATCCGTGTTGTTCTTGGGTTCCGCGGTGGCGGGTTCCAGGGCGGGGTGGCCGACGAGGGTCGTCTGTGGACGGAGAAGCAAGATTTTGGGTGTGTGGGAATGAGAGGAATTAGGCCGGTTTTGAAGCAGCTATCTCCCACCTTTCCACTTTCTCGTTTTCCCAACACAAACAAACGGTTGGTCAATCCTCGGTTCCACCGCCGCCGAAGAGTGTCTATATTTGATTAATTGTATCTCATAAATGGTATGAAAGTTGAATTTGTTTGACCCTGTTGCTCAAGAGTAACAAGTACTAGTACAAAATTTTGAAATTGAAATGAAATATTAGCATTAAAAAGGTACAAAATTTATTTCAATGTATGGATAGGTACAAAATATTAACTTTATACTTACTTTTATTTCATAAAATGTTAATCGAATTTAAAAAAATAATATGGTTTAATTTGTAAAAGTTGTGAAATATGTGGGTAGTATTGAAAAGTTATAAAAGTTATGAAAAAAGAATATTCCAATATTATTCTTTTGGGTTTCAGAATGATCTTTTTCGGTTCGAGATGAAATACTACCGACTCTATATATTATTCTCAAATATTCCGATATTATTCTTTTGACACATGTTCATGTTTGGTTTTGACTATTATGCTTGGGATTTATCATAAACTATTTTAGCTTCCATTTTTTCTTACATTATATCACTCTTACCTTTTTTTTTTTTATTTAATTCATATATTAGTTATTATAAATATGTAGTCTTTTTCTTTTTACAACTTTCTCACTTTTTTATTTATATTTTTATTTTTGTATATGATCTGCGAAAATAATCATGATTTTACCAATCTTCGATTTGACATCCATATTGCATATATAAAATGAATAATAATTTGTCTATTATTATAAATAAAATTAATTTAATTATCAACTCAATTTAAAATACTTGAAATAATAATATAAATTAATTTATAAACTTAATAAAAATTTAATTCATTAATACACTATAAAATAATCATGTTATTGTTTAAAATTTAATCACAATACAATAAAACTTGTTTTGTTTAAAAAACAAATCAAATATATGAAGTTGTAAGTTCTACACATATATAATTTTTAATCTTTAATTAAAAAATACCTTTTATTGACAAATTGAGTGTAAAAATAGTGACATCATTTGATTTAATTATCATTTTGTTAGTTATTTATTATTTTTTTCATATTCATCATACAAATATTAATATATTTAAGTGCCCGTGTAGTACACAGGTAATGTACTAGTTAACAAAGAATCGTTCATTTGTATATCATGAACAATATTCTTTTGGATACATATAAATCAATAATAACTATAGGTAAATAATATTAATAATGAATTTTAATATGAACAGTATATAAGCAAAAAGATGGCGTTAATTTTTATGTCATGTAGCCGAAATTGAAAAGAGCAATGGTTGACCGATAACCGAAGAACTTTTATTGGAAGTCGGTTCACACTTTTTTTATTCATTTTCAAATGTGTAGAATGTCGTGTGCAAATAGTGGTACCAGTCCACATTTATTTCACAATTAAGAGGGGTGGTTGTACCGGCTCCAAAGATTGGAAACAAATGTGTGGACCCCTATAATTGGTTGGATGAATTTGCTTCTTCCGTCATTCTTTTCAACTCACACAGCAAATATATTCTTTCATGGGAGAATAGCCATCGTATCCCGTATTCCCAAACCGGCCGGAACCGCTGCTTTGGCTCATCACTGAGGTAGGTTGTCATCCTTTTTGTGCTGCTTGTATTACCTGATATTATGGTTAAAAAATTGTGGATGAAGTGTCGGTGATGTTAGATTTTGAAGATGTATAAAATGGGTTTGAGTCTATGTTAATTGTTATAAATTTATATGTTTTGTGCTAATTTTTGAAACACCGGCAGTTACCCGAGTTAAGTAACATTACAAACATCACGTTCTCCATTTTTTTTTTCCAAAACATGCTAGTCCATTTTAAAATTCAAAGGAGAATGAAAAAAGGCAATAGTATCTCGTATTTTATATATTGTGTTAATAAAAGATATATATAATTCATCCGATTTATATATTTTTTTTTTTTTTCGATTGTTGTTCATATTGTGTTAAGATTATACATTGTTACTACCCTATAATAATTATCTTCTATTGTCTTATTAATAATGAATGGTTGTTATTGTTACACTCATTTTTGTTTCAGACACCATTCGATGGCAAATAGGTTTGACCCGTTCGTTGTTATTATTACGGATGCAAATAGTCTGAACTTGGTATGAATACAAACCTCTGTCTTTAAGTTTTATATATAATTGCTGTAATCAATATCGCCCCGTCCAACAAAATGCATATGGTTTGCATGCAACCGCTGCCCGAGTCAATCTACTATCAGTATACAAATCATGTCACGATAAATTGTACAATAGTTACTAGGGAGAACCGTACTTATGAAGTTTGGTTGGTAAAAGTGGGAAATCGATTTGAATTTCGTGATCGTTGGGACGAATTTGTACGAGCAGAAGATATTCGCGCGGGCTACATTTTGTATTTCGAGCGCAACAGTCTGTATGAATTTGTTGTGAAAGTTTTCACTTGTAATTCGGTTGAACGACCTCCCCAATATCGCTTCTTAGTGGATATGAAGAAAACGCATGTGCAACGGGAACGTTTGGTACGTATCACGTTTCACTTTAAATGAACCAGGAAAAGTGTATTCTTTGTGTTCTCTTATTCCGTCAATTTTTCGTTTATTTGATTTCTACAAAAAGGAATGAAATATTTTATTAATTGTATTTACTATTGTAGGCCATTCCGATGAGTTTTTGGAGGGATCATATCGAACACCAAGTTAATGATACTACGAGAGCAATTTTATTTTGTAAAGGAGGCCGATACACTGTTCCAATAATCCAAGCGCATGGGAAGGCGTTGATAGAACACGGTGATGCGCGTGAATTTATGGACCAAAGTGGAATCGTGGAGGGCATCACATGCATATTCACCTTAATTGGATATGAGTGTGTTGTTTTCAAGGTACGGTTACTGGATGGTTGACAATGTAATCGTGCGAGAGACTTTGGCGTACAAACACCGGTTTTCATTATCTTTCATGTTTGGACTAATTTTATGTGTTCGAATTCGTAATTGGACCGAATTTAATATATGTAAACAAAGGCCACGTTCAGGTTGGCAGGTTTTCCATTTAAATGGTCTCATTGCATGATTTTTTGCTTATCACGGTTCCCTGTGCGTGTAAAGTTATTTCAATGCATGAAAAGAATGATTAAAAAAAAATTGCAATGCTTTTATTTAACGTGGAACATGACAAATTCCTTTTCAGAAAAGGGAGATAACCCGTGATCATATGCCCCTGCATTTCTGTATCATGTATATTTTATTGTCGTTTTTTTTAAATATATTGACTTATCGTTATTTTTTAATAGGTTATACATGATTATTTTTTATGCTTCTTTCGACTTGGCGAAAAAAAGGCTACAAATAAAAGTGGAATAATTACATGATATAAACAAATATAACAACATATTATAAGGTAGATGCGGGTGATAATTGAAAAATATGTAAAACACATACAAAACGTCATCTATTTGGTTTAAAATTAGATATGACGTAGTCAAAATAATTATATTTAAGTTCGTAACAACATATATTGTTTTATGATTTTAAATCTTAATGACCAAATTAAAAATATTTTCCAATGGATATATTTATTTATGAAGTAGTTTTAAATGACGTACGTATAAAAAGTACTATAATATAACACATGTAACAAGTGTCATTCTATAATATATATAAAATTGTCTAAATCAAATATTGTGTACAAAGTGTTATTTAATTTGATACTAGTTATTACATGTATAATAATATTTGTTCACTACCCGTGTACTTCATGGCCATTACACTAGTATGAATATTATTGGTGGTTTTATTTTTTAGTTATAACCAGGGTTGTCATGCACAATTTTCAACAAGTCGCCGGTTACGACTTCAACTATTATTTGCGGAAAAAGTCTACAAATAAGTGTAATAATAAGAAGAACATCCAAAATTCATAAATCCTTCGGAATCGCTAGTCAATCCTATTGTACTATTGTACGCCCAAACGATGTTCGTTAACACAAGCATTGGTGTGTTCGGGTTACATTAATGGTCACAAGCATTGGTGTGTTCGGGTTACATTAATACAAACATTGGTGTGTTCGGGTTACATTAATACAAACGATGTTCGTTTTATCTTCGGTTCGCCCACAAGGCTTGCGCTATCGTGTCACGCAACACACAATGGTCACCAACGTTGGGGTTGGAGTTATTATCATTAGACATAAAAGGTGTAGTACGATAACGAGGATCATGTGGTCGTACGTATTCTGGGTTCCTGAATTCAGGCGGCATGTTTTCGAGCGGTTCATGAATCCGAACAAAGTTGTGTAGAACACAACATGCTATTACTATGTCGGTTTACAAGTGGACTGTGTAGTTTGGCATCAGGCCCTTTATGATGGGAAACTTCCCTTTTAGCAAACCGAAGCTGCGTTCTACGACATTACGGACGGTGGCATGTCGTCTGTTGAACAACTCACGAGCATTGTCGGGCAACTGGTTAGACCCCAACCACTCTGGAAGATGATATCTTTCACCACGATATGGTGTCATGAAACCTGGGATGTTTGCGTATCCAGAGTCCACCACATAGAATTTACCTGCATGACCATATGTCCTTAAATAATGGGAGCACAGAAAAAAAAATTGAAAAATTACATTGTTAATAATAACATAAGAATACTGTGATGATGGAATTACCGAGTGGTGGAAAGAGAAAAGCATATTTGGGGTTAGACATAGTCTGATTAAAAATACTTGCGTGGTTTGCACTGCCTTCCCAGCCGGCTAGGATGAAAGTGAACCTCGTGTCAAAATCACACGCCAACATCACATTTTGCGCTAAATAACCTTTCCTACATCTATAAGAACCTTGCTGTCCTCCGGCACCCACGCTGGTATAATAGTGCCGTCAATGGCACCAATGCAATCTTAACATAAGAAACCACAATATCAAATATACAATAAGTTAGTTAAAATATACAGTATAGGACACAATCAAAGATAAAGTGATACGACATGTTTACCTTGAAGTAGGGATATAAGTTACGATTATTTCTTATCCACGGTGCAACACGGTTGAAGTCTGGGGGACGGATGTAGTCGGGGGCTAGATAACATAGAGCATTGATGACTTTGTGACAATGACGACTAATCGTCTCCCCCGAGTGTCTGAATGACTCAGCCGCACGTCGTTGCCTTTGATGGCCTTTTATTGTATGAAGGAAAATAGCTACGCTTTCTTCAATGCCTATTTTTTGTTGTCTCGTTTCTTCGTGGAATCCCGCCCTCTTTATTTCGTCACAAAGGATGCTAAAATGACATTGATTTAGGCTCATTGTATCTTTAAAGCGGCGAGGATTTCCAGCAAATAGTTCATTTACCCAGTCCAACCCCGTGTAGGTGGATTCTCGGTAGGGGGTTCACCTTAAGCGGGAAAATGCGGTCGATGAACTTTCAAAAATGTTTACAAGTTGTTGAAATTGAGCTCTCACCATTAAGGAGGTTTCGACGGGATCGTAGTCTTCCACCGGATCCAAATCACTATTAATGTCTTCAGGCAAATCATCGACCTCTTCGTCATATGTGTCACTATCGTGAACATTAGACATACTACAAATAAATGTATTTGCTAATAAATACACGCATAAAAATGTCCACAAACAAATTATACCATAAGCATGCAGTAGCAAATGTAGCTTGGAAACAAAGTTAAACATAGTACACTCGTAGAGTATATGAAGATAGAGCAACAACAAATAAAGAGCAATAAAAAACATCGCCATCCCCCTTCACGCACCACCGGGGCCCTCATCCAACCACATTTTAATAATAATACGACGTCTCTCGTCACTATTAATCGCCGCAAACATTGCTCGATTGGTAGGATCCCACAACTTCTTGCAAACATACTGGAAAAGTTCTTCGTCCATATTCGGCATTGCTTGAAGGTCGCGCATAGCTTGTTCCATTGTCGTTAGCTTAGGGGGTTTGTTGTTTCTTTCTCTGAGGGATACATTCAAGTCTGACCACGAATACATGGCAGTGTCGAAACTAGACTCTGTGCCTCTCCTCGGACAAACGTACCGCCTCGGCCTACCCTGTCGTGCATGCGATGTCGGGGTGACCATCGGTTCCTCTTTCTCCTCCGCGAAAAAATCCTGGCTCACATGTCTGGACGGGTCACTACCGAAGCTTCGTCCATTGGCCACCCGTTGAGTTGATGCCCTCGCATTCGACTCCGTAGTAGTTGTCCCGTGAAAAATAGTAGTTAGTTCTTCATAATGCACACACACCTTACCCTCCATGTCATGATCCCTTCGATTTGCCTATGCACGTGACATAAAAAATAAAATTTTAAGACGAGGATAGCAACAGCACAAACTATAATTTCATTTTAAACAAAAAAGGACAGTAAAATACAATATACTTCTAATCTAAAGAAAACACCAACATAAAAAAGATCCTTGTATTTAACATGGAAGTATAGGCCACATTAAACTCAAGCACATAACCTCAAAATAGGAATAACCTAGGAAACAATTTTTATGTTAATATGAGAATGAAAAAATACTTACGGTTGTCCATTGCGCCCAAAATTCATCGGTTCCTTCAATCGTTTTTTTATGTTCATTCCAGCCCAATCCGGTGGCGTTGGTGATAATGTTGTGAAACCTTCTCCAATACACTTTCATACGTTGGTACTTACTCTACAGCTGAGCGACTTTGTAAGGATAGAAAATGGGACACCTCTCTGTCAACTTCCCAAGAATGGTCGTCTATTGATTAGGTGTGAACTTACCGGCTACACGGTTTCCTAACTGGACTTCTTCCAACAAAACACTCACAAATGCGGCTTCATTTTCGGAAGGCCATTTCGCGTCTCCTTGAATATTATCAGTTGAAGTACCAATACCACCGGGATATGACATCTACAATTATGGCATATAACAATCGAACAACAAAGAAGTGGTATTGTACTCTGAACATGTAACAATAGATATAAACATTGGAGATACATGAGACAGAACCATATTTCTTCTACATTGTACAGACATGAAAATAAAACCTAACCTCAGAAATGGACTATAGTTGAAGTTCAAGTGTCATTTTCGCAACAAATTTCATCAACATTGAACACACCGACAAGTAATAACAGATGCCCTAACTAAATTACAAGGAAGTGTACATCCAATTTTCCCTTGCCGTCTTTTTCAAAAATAACAAAGACCGATATACCATGAACTTTTCCGGTTTACAAAACCAATTAAAAAGACCCCCAAAGTCACGAAACCGTCATTAAACGTGACCAATGCTTATGAAATGTAAAGCAACATGGTGATGGAGTAAGAACCCCCCAAAAAAAATAAAGAATGAACATACAGAGGAGTATGATGTAACAAAATGAACTTATCCTGCAATATTTTATTTTTTCCCAAATATTGGAAATTAATTTTGGGCCGCACCTAAACCACAATCTTGCAGGCTAAATAAAAGAGTTGAACACCGATTGCGATTTTCGATTTTACGGAGGAGTATCATGTACCTTTGTTGGCCGGAGTCGTTTTTTCTTCGGAGATGTGACGGAGATGCTGCCAGTGCTCTCTGTTGTTTCTTCAGGTCGCCGTTCGGTCCTTCCTTCACCGTCCTCACCACGTTCTGTTGCCGGTAGAGATTGTTGTGGGGAGAGATACATACGCCGCACAGGTTGGTGAGGGATTTTATGGAGGAAGAAATTGAGAATTTATCTGCTATCATATCACAGACAGCTCTTTCGATTTGAAATGAGCAAAAATTGGTCAAAAAAGAAGGACAAGGCAATGAATTCTGGCAGGGTGGGTCAGTATGGGTTTTCTGTGCGTGTAACGTGCAGACTTTAATGTGGGCCCAAGGAGAAACCCATCAAGTTATAAACAATCACACTTTCAACAGTAACATTGAGTTTTAAATTAGATATTATTGGGCTAGTTGGTAAACAATTGCAGCCTAAAAAGCTCTCGGCAATTGCTACTATTTGCTCTTGGTTTCTCTCTATTGT